CAGCATGCATCACTTTTGTGTAACAGTACGGTCTGTCGTGGGTTATTCCTTACTTATACATTCAGTTTAGCCCATTGACTGTAGATAAATAGTTTGAGTGGAAAGAGTGGGACATGGAAGGAGGAGTGTGGCATATGAAAGAGTAATAAATAACCTGAGCCAGTCGAGGAAGCACTCCAGTGCTATTGGATTTGATGCAGCCAGCGAAGCAGGAGGACAGGTACGTGATTCCGTTAGAGCCACAAACAGGGCTAACCGATGACGTGTAGCAGTTACAGTTACTAATGCATGGAGCTTCTGGTGTTTGGCCTGGCTGCAGTGTTCTACAAACACACACACACACACACAATTCATATTCAAACAATAGCAGAGGTTTTACACGTATTAAATAAAACACTCACAGGGTGGCAATTATGAATAAAGTGTTCTCCTGAATCATCTTAAAATACAACACACCTGTTAAAGGTAGGGAATTTTTTTTAAAAACCAAACTGCTCTTTATACCCATTTTAACAAGTGTGCACAGATGTGAACAAAAAATAAAACAATCCTTCTGAGAAACAAATAAATAAACAAAGCACTAGCCATGCTCACTCATTGCCATAGGCGACGGTCACACCAGCAACAGGGCCTGTGTCACAGCCAAGGAAGAGGAAAGACACATAGCAGGCGGTGGAAATCAGGTTGACCAACATGGCCATCCGAACAGCACCCAGAGCACACAGATTCAGCTTCTTCACCAAAAGACCGCCCATAAAAATCCCCAGACATGCACATGGGATGGCTGTCATACCTGCAAGAACCTAAGTTAATTTCTTTAATAACAATAATATTAATTTGGTTTGAACTAATTTTAATGAGGAAGATATGAACTTTTGGACTCTGCATGCAGAATGGTCTATATGAAAGAGGCATGTCTGACATACCCAGAAGCTGATTGGCCGAGGTGGTTGTAAGATTAAACTGCTGCTCCAAGTACTTGCCCAAGAAGGCAGCAAAACCAGCAACTACAGCAATCTCCATACACGCAGCAAGGACAATACAGGTGAACACCGGGTTAGACAGCAGGTGTTTAGTCACCTTGGGAATAACTGAGCAGAGAGAGAGGGGGGTGGTTGTTATTACAGTAACCTTAATGATAGACTAACAGACTCTGTTTTTTTATCCAATATTTATTTATGCCATAAATAAGCACAATTTGATATGCAGAGTCTAATGTTTGCTTCATCTTCTAAAGACAGCCTTTCATTATCTCAGTGAACTTTGCAAAGTCTTGCATGTGTTATGTTCTGCAAATCTAAACAATAATCTGATTGGTCAGATTCTAAGCTTGCAAAAGTTTGGGGAATGAGGGATGTGAACATTGCCTGGTCTTTTCCAATCTTCAACTTCCCAGTTTCAGTGAGCCTGTGCCCATTTTAGCCTCAGATTCCTGTTATTGGCTCACAGGAGTGGAACCTGATGTGGTCTCATGCGGTTATTGTTCAGACAGCATGGAAGGAGAGCCTTCTGAGCTATAGAAAAGCTCTTAGTGATGCTAGATCAATGTATCTCTCCACCCTAATTGAAGATAACAAAAATAATCCTACATTCTTATTTAATACTGTAGCAAAATTAAACTAGGAATAAGACCACAACTGAAACATGCACACAATCATTATACACCAGTGATGACTTTGTGAATTGTTTCAATGATAAAATTGAAAATATCAGGCAAAAAATTCAGACTATTAATTTAAAACCAGACAGTTTTATAACTAATCCTGTAGATAATAATATAACAATATTAGAATGTTTTACTCCCCTTCGAGAGACTTATTTCACTAATTTCCTCATCAAAATCATCAACATGTATACTGGATCCCTTACCTATGTGTTTCTTCAAATAGATAATTCCAGAAGCAATTGAACCTCTTCTAAAAAAATCAATTCTTCCTTTAGCACTGGCTATGTACCTAAATCTTTTAAACTAGCAGTTATCAAACCCCTGATTAAAAAAACCTGACCTCAACCCCTTTCAATTGTCCAACTATAGGCCAATATCAAATCTCCCCTTTATCTCCAAGATCCTATAAAAGGTTGTAGCACAGCAGTTACGCTCAAACCTACATAGGAATAACATTCATGAAATGTATCAGTCAGGATTTCGGCTTCATCATAGCACAGAGACAGTGCTGGTTAACGTGGTAAATGAACTACTACTGGCTTCTGATCAGGGTTGTGTCTACTTGCTTGTGTTGCTTGACCTTAGTGCAGCTTTTGATACCACTGATCATGCTATTCTCCTTGATAGACTAGAAAATGTTGTAGGCATTATGGGAACAGCCCTGTCCTGGCTCAGGTCTTATTTGACTGATCGTTATCAGTTTGTAGATGTAAATGTGACTTCTCTACACATACTAAGGTAAAGTTTGGTGTTCTGCAAGGTTCTATTTTAGGCCCACTGCTCTTTTCTTTATATGTACTACTTCTGGGCAAAATTATTCGTACACATGGTATTAGCTTCCACTGTTATGCTGATGGCACACAGTTGTATGTTTAAGCAAAACCAGATGATGGACACCAGCTTAATAAAGTTGAGGAATGTGTAAAGGACATTAGACACTGGATGCTTATTAGCTTTCTTTTACTTAATTCTGACAAGTAAGAAGTACATGTATGAGGAACAAATGCAGCTAGAAGTAAGCTTTCTGATTACATAATAACTCTGGATGGCCTTTCTGTGCATCATGTGCAGCAGTAAAAGATCTTGGTGTGATTATTGACTCCAGTCTTTCACTGGAAAGAAATATTACTAGAATATCTTTCTTTCATCTCAGAAATATTGCTAAGATAAGATAATGTCACTACATGATGCAGAAAAGTTAGTTCACGCTTTTGTTACCTCTAGGTTGGATTATTGTAATGCCTCGCTGTCTGGATGTTCCAGTAAGTGCATAAACAAGCTCCAGTTAGTCCCGAATGCAGCAGTGAGAGTCCTTACTAGAACCAGAAGATATGACCACATCATCTCTATCTTATCCACACTGATTTCGCTCCCAATGCAATTTCGTATTGATTATAAAATACTACTATTGACCTATAAAGCACTGAATGGTCTCGCGCCTAAGTAACTGAGCAAGCTTTTGGTCTTTTATGATCCACCACACCTACTCAGACACAGTCTCAGTATTTAAATCTAGGCTGAAAACATATTTGTTTACTCAAGCCTTTTGTGAATAGTTTTTTTTTTAGGTAAAGGAGCAGGTCTGGAGGGTTCACAGGCATAGAGTGTTGTGGTGAACTAGGATGTTTGAATGCTGACACCCCCCCTACTCTCACACGTTCACTCAGGTTTGTTGACAGTGGAGTGGCTGGCCACTTTATGTTCCACGGCACCCTCATGTCTGTGTTACCTTCTGGCTCTCCCATTTTGGTTATGCTGTCACAGCTAGTCTTGCCAGAGTCCCTGCTTGCACTCTGCACGCAAAGTACATTGTCCTTAACCATTATGGGACAAAAGCTTACCTAACAATCTCTCTCTCTCTCTCTCTCTCTCTCTGTCGAGCTACACATGCTACTCCTGAGATACCAGTGATGCCAACTTCTGGTTGGAGTTCTCATCGGTTGTGAGAACTCATTGGGGTGGCCCCACATGGACGGCCTGAAGATCATTGGGATTGCTGGAGATGGTGCCACTTGGTGGCCGTGGAGATGGCTTGAGGATCTCATATGGGGAGTTGTACTGTGATGGCTTGGGACTGCGATTGCTGTGGTTGCTTTGGAGCTGCGGTTGCCGCAAGTAGTTTTGCACTCAGGTCTCTATCAGTGGACAGTGGAGAGGTTCGACAAACCAGACTTCATGTGAAAACTGTAATTAATTTACTGGTTGTACAATTGCAATATTTGCCCATGTAGTACACAGTTATAGAAGGGATTTATTTATAATTTCATTATCCCAGATGATGATGGGTTCCCTTTTGTGTCTGGCTCCTCTGAAGGTTTATTCCTCATATCGTCTGAGGGAGTTTTTCCTTGCTACCGTTGCCTCTGGCTTTCTCATTAGGGATAAATTCACACATTTCCAATTTATTTTGCTTTAATTTAATTTGAATGTATTTATTTCTGTAAAGCTGCTTTGTGACAAAGTCCATTGTTACAAGCGCTATACAAATAAAATTGAATTGAATTGTTGTAGACCAGCTGCCTTAAGATTAGACATATTGTGCATTCTGAGATGCTTTTCTGTTCATCACAGTTCTGAAGAGTGGTTATATGAATTACCGTACCGCAGCTCCAACCAGTCTGGCAATTCTCCTCTGACCGCTCTCATCAGCAAGATGTTTCCGCCCACAGAACTGCCAGTGACATTCTACTTTTTGTTTTTCCACACCATTCTGTGTAAATTCTAGAGACCACTGTGCATGAAAATCCGAGGAGATCAGCAGTTTCTGAAATACTCAAACCAGCCCATCTGGACCCAACAACCACACCATGGTGACATTTGACATTTTTCTCTATTCTGAGGTTTCATGTTAACATTAATTGAAGCTTTTGACCTGATTTTATGCATTGCACTGCTGCCACATAATTGGCTGATTGGGTAAATGCATGAATGTGCAGGGGCACAGGTTTTTCTAAAGTGTCTGGTGAGTCTACACACACACACACACACACACACACACACACACACACAGATTGATAGTAGCTGTCTACCACAGTATATTGGAGTTGAAATTACATAAGAATATAAATATGACCAAATCGAGTGAACAGTGTAGGAATTACTTTTTACATGTGGTCCCCCCTTTTTAAGAGCACAAAAGTAATTTTGGCTGCTCAGCTGTTCCATGGCCAGGTGTGTCTTAAAAAGGAGCTATTATTTGTCACATATACAGCACAGTGAAATTATTTTCCAGCTTGTTAGGAAGCTGGGGTCAGAGCACAGGGTCAGCCATGATATGGCACCCCTGGAGCAGAGAGGATTAATGGCCCTGCTCAAGGGCCCAACAGTGGCAGCTTGGCGCTGCTGGGGTTTGAACCCTCAACCTCCTAATCAGTAACCCAGAGCCTTAACCGTTGAGCCACTGCCCTCATTGTTTAGTCCCTTATTCCCTCATTATTTCACTTACAAGTAATCAGATAAAAGGTCTAGAGTTGTTTTCAAGTGAGGCATTTGCATTTGGAATCCACTGCCGTTAACTGTCAAAGTACACTATCGGTCCATGAAAACTCATACTTTTATTCATTAAATGAGCTGTAAAATGAACAGAAAATGTAGTCAAGACACTGACAAGGTTAAAAATAATGAATCCTCCCTTTGCAATAATTACAGCCTTGCAGACCTTTGGCATTCTAGCTGTCAATTTGTTGAGGTAATCTGAGGAAATTTCTCCCCATGCTTCTTGAAGCACCTTCCACAAGTTGGATTGGCTTGATAGGCACTTTTTTTTGTGAACCATACATTCAAGCTGCTCCCATAGCTCGATAGGATTGAGATCTAGTGACTGCACAGGCCAGTGCATTACCAGCTGACTGCTTCTTCTAGTTCTTGCATAGTTTGGGGCTGTGCTTTGGGTCATTGTCCTGTTGTAGGAGGAAAATTAGCTCCAATCAAGTGCCATACACAGGGTATGGCATGGAATTGCAAAATGGAATGATAGTCTTCCTTGTTCAAGATCCCTTTTATCATGTACAAATCTCACAGTTTAGCACCACCAGAGGCACCCCCAGACCATCACCTTTCCTCCACCATGCTTGACAGTTGGCACTTTGTGTTCCAAACACCTCAAACTTAGATACGTCTGTCCATAACACTTTTTTCCAATCTTCCTCTGTCCAATGTCTGTGTTCTTTAGCCCATCTTAATCTCTTCCTTTTATTGGCCAGTCTAAGATATGGCTTTTTTTTTTTCATAACTTTGCCTAGAAGGCCATCATCCTGGAGTCACCGCTTGACTGGTGATGTTGAGACTGAGGCTTTGTGGGTACAAGTCAATGAAGCTGCCAGTTCAGGACCTGTGAGACATCTGTTTCTCAAACTAGAGACTCTGATGTACTTGTCCTCTTGCTCAGTTGTGCACCAGGGCCTCCCACTTCTCCTTCTATCCTGGTTAGAGCTAGTTTATGCTGTTCTTTGAAGAGAGTATTGTATGAAATCTTCAGTTTCTTGGCAATTTGTTGCATGGAATAGCCTTCCTTTCTTAGAACAAGAATAGACTAAGAAGTTTCAGAAGAGAGTTGTTTTTTCTGGCCATCTTGAGTCTATAATCAAACCCACAAATGCTTATGGTCCAGACACTAGCCAAAAGAAGGCCAGTTTTATTGCTTCTTTAATCAGCACAGTGATTTTCAGCTGTGCTAACATAATTGCAAAAGGAATTTCTAATTACACATTAGCCTTTTTATAATAAAAACCTGGATTAGCTATCACAATATGCTACTGGAACATAGGAGTGATAGTTGCTGAAAATAACCCTCTTTATGCCTATGTAGATATCCCATTAAAAATCATCAGTTTCCAGCTATAATAGTCATTTACATTAACAATGTCTAGACTGTATTTTTGATCAATTTAATGTTATTTTAAATGAAAAAAGTGTGCTTTTCTTCCAAAATCAAGGGTACTTCTATGTGACCCCAAACTTTTGACCAGTACTGTATATCTGTGTCAAAGTCAACAATCAAGAGAAGCTTCACCACAGTAAATACAGAGGGTTTACCACAAGATGTAAACTATTGGCAAGCATCAAAAACAGGAAGACCTGATTAGAGGTTACCAAAAAAAAAAAAACATCTAAAAAGGCTGTACAGTACTGGATCAACATTCTATGTAACAATGAAACAAAGATCAACTTGTGCCAGAATGAGAGGGATATGGAGAAGAAAATGAACTGCTCATTATCCAAAGCATATGGCTTTGGATCTGTGAAGCATGGTGAAGGTAGTGTTATAGCATGGGCATGTATGGATGCCAGTGGAACTGGTTCCCTTGTATTTCTTGATGTGACTGCTGACAAATGCAGCAGGATGAATTCTGAAGTGTATAGGGCTTTATTATCTGCTCAGATTCAGCCAAATGCAAATCCAACTGAGCATGCATTCAACTTGCTGAAGGAAAACTGAAGGCAAAATGCTTCAAGAACAAGCAGGAACTGAAGACAACTGCAGTTGCACCAAGGAAGAAATCCAGCATCTGTTGATGTCTATGGGTGCTAGCTTGTTTGTCCAATTACTTTTGGTCCCTTAAAAAAGAGTGGGACCACATATAAAAAAAGTATTGTAATTCCTACACCATTCAGTTGATTGGATATAAATGCCCTTAAATTTAAGCTGAAGGTCTGCACTTTGAAATAATATTCATTATTTAATTTAAACTCCAATATACTGGTAGACAGCTTAAAAAAAACCAAAAAACTTTCTTTTCTTTCCAATGTCCAAATATTTATGGACCTGCCTGTACATGCAATATAACTGCAATAAAAGCAATATAACTGCAATAAAAACAATATAACTGTATTTTTTTTAAATACTGAACAATTATTGAACATGCATAAGCAATATTTATGGAAAAGGACAGAAAAAAACATTTCATTTGCTAGGAGAGTTCTTGAAGGCAGATGTGTGTGCGCAAATGAAATGGAGGTAATAATGGGCTCCAGCCAAATTCTGTTGTAAAACTATTTTTCTATTGTTCCACTTTCATTAAAAAGCTTTAAAAAGGTTTTTTTGATAATAAACAAAGTATAATAGTGTGTTACTATATACAGTAAGCTACCTCGAAGCTGATCACAGCAGGAGCTGTCAGGTTGATGGTTGTGCAGGACACCATTACTTGGCTTTGGATGCTCATAACTCTGAGATGCAGGCAGCATGGGCTGGTCACTTTCTGTCCTGCTGTTCCCATATCGCTCTGACAGAGATGAGGGGAAACCAAACATGAAGATAGCGGAGAAAAAAAGTAAAGCCCCACAGAGGAGGAAGCCTCCCCACCAGGCTCCGATCCAGCGAGGGTCATCCGGGGTGATGTCCAGCTTGGCTGAGGGTAGAGGGTCGGTTCACACATGATAATGGACATAGAAGAATAAGCAAAACATTAAAAGGTGCCTTTTGAGCCATTATACTTAACATATACACAAAAAGCCTTTCATATTCACCACTTTAACGCTCACATGAAAATGCTCTCGCTGGTTTAAACTTTCACATATGGTCTAAATGACATTTTAACTTTTTTTTTTTTTCTCCAGAAAGGTGCACAGACTAGAGGTATGTATTCAGTTTGGGATCCCATGTACAACATGCAACAAAAAAGCACGAGCAGAAGGTTTTTAGTCATGAGGGTGCGAGCGAGCTTTCAGATATGAGGCTCAAATAAGGACCACATGTGGGAACACAGAGACCCAGCCAAAGGGGTGGAGTTTTGGCCTTAAAAGCAGCACAGTGGAGCCACCAATGTTTCCTGTTTGCCTGCTTGCTAGATTGTTAGCTTCTTTCACTGTTTGTTTGTGCTAGTGTGTTTGTTTGTGTGCCGTTGTTAAGCTGTTTTGATTTTGCACTTAGTCCTCTTCCTCTACTAGTTTGTTTATATCTTTGGCTTCAAAGATGAAAAAAATGTCATGACAGGATAGAGGAGAGAACTGTAAGTTTAGTGGTTTTTTTTTTTTTTTGGTTTGAACAAAATGGTTACAGCTTTTCTGTTTACACTGTTTGTTATTCAGAGGAAACATGGTAAGAAGCCAGCATTACAGACTTGAAACAATAAAAAATATATATATATATATATATATATATATATATATATATATATATATATATATATATATATATATATATTAAAAATCACTAATTCAGCTCGCTGTCTGCCTTTAATTGTGTGTGTGTGTGTGTGTGTGAAAAATAATTTGCCCCAATATTATGTATATTTACAGCATTTAAAAAATACCCTTATCCAGAGTGACTTACAGATTATTATTATTATTATTATTATTAACAACGAGACTTAGGGATGTAATGTATTGCTCAACTCCAATAGTTTAACTGTCGAGCTATTGATATGTATTTGATTTCAGCCTCCCATCTAATATTACCACCATCTACCTCTGGTAAGGACCAATTTACTGGCCATGCTGTCAGTGTTGGCATTTCTACCTCTGTTTTTTCTCCAGTGTTTTCCAGAGTTTCCAGGGAGGAATTGTGATAGTTTTCATATTTAATAAAAAAAATTCAGTTTAGCCTAATCTGAATACAGGTAAATATACAAATATTTGGAGCACAGATATAGATACATACTGTACATAAATGCATTGTGTTACTACAGACAGAAACTGGAGTGAACCGAAACTCACTGGTGTCAACAAAGACAGCATCCACATAGAATTTGGTGCAGACTGAACCAAGGATGAAGCCACAAGCAGGTCCAAAAACCAAGGTTGAGAATAATATACCTGCAATAAGAAAGACAGCACAATTGTGATGAAATTTTGATTTGAAAATCTATCCTTTCTGACATATTTTCTCACACTCTTTTCAAAGGATCGGGTAATCACAAGTGATCATTTATCGTTAATTTTCGTATATGAAAGACATGCGCAGGAATTGCCTCATTGAAATGGTCTATAATACTCTCATTGGATACCATTTTCTCAGAAAAAACAAGAAATCAACACAGACAGTAGATCATCATACCCATACCCAATCATACCCATCATTTAATTATTCATACACTGATGGATGTCAACTGTTAGCTGTAATATAATACATCACACTAATAAAACTGTAGTACTCTAATACTGATATGTGGCAGACTGGGAAAACCTGTTGGAGGTTGCTTAATTCTGGGAAACAACCAAACATTACAAAAGTATGAGTTTTTTTGGTCAATAATATATTTGACATACCTGTTTTAAGAAAATGTAAATACATTTTACCAAAACAATGTGGAAATGTTTTTATTTAGAACTGGGGGTATTCCACGAAGTGGGCCAACGTGATAAGCCTGGCTAATTTCCACAAACGAAGCTGATCATATGCCCTACTGAGTTACTATGGAAACATATTTTAACACTTTCCCAGATTCGGGTGGGTAACCTGGTTTGG